GTTCAGGTGGCTTTAGCTTTAAAAACTGCGATGGCAGGGGCCGACATGTTGGAATTGATACTTGATGCTTTGAAGACGCTTGTTGAGTCTAACCCAAGGCAACACACTCGTGAAATGGTAACATTCTTTTAAATCCACCCAATTCGGCGATCCGAAACCACAGACATGAAATTGAACATCTGATAACTCACTAAGGGTTCACCATTCTTTGTAATTGTAATTACGAATTGAACTGTTAATCAAAGGAAGTCTATCCATAAAACAAATGCCCCCCTGTTTTAAATATAACACTGTCCTCTATACACTTAATTCGTTTAAAAGCAACTTATACTAAAAAATGAATTTATACAGTAAAAATAAAAATAAAACAAAAAAGTAAAAGTTCTTAATCTTATTTCTTCGCCCCGTAGATGCTATTTGTAAATATTCAATAATACTGTTCATTAATTTTATTGTTGTTCTTGCTTCACGTGATTAGAACATTATTTTAATCTTGTATTCTCTAATTATCGTTATTTTCTTTTGTCTAATGATGACCAAAGTAGAAGGTCGAAATGTTGCATGGCCATCCATATATTTATATATATATATATATATATATATACATTAAAGGCCTATTTAGTTATAGATCATTAACTATACATCTACTAATGCATCATATATTTAACCTCACACACAAAAGAAATGTATGCAGAATTAAAATGTCGTGTGTGGAAAAGCAAACAGTAAGCCTAGCCTATAAAATAAAATTATGTCGTCTGCCATAAAATAGACTAGGTCAGTGGTTCTCAAACTCTTTTATTCCTGAGGCTCCCTTGATGTGAATAAAAAAGTTTGAGCCCCCCCAATCTATACCTTTAGAATGATGATTGAAAAACAGTGCCATAGTAAAAAAAAACAACAAAAAAACATCTCCTTTCGACATACTGTATCATTTAATTAATTCAACATAATTTTTATCGGCTTATTGTTTATTTAGAGTTAAGATTAATTCAGCATTTTTTGGCGCCCCCCCCCCCCCAGTAAAAGCTTCACGGCCCCTATAGGGGCCGCGGCTCCCACTTTGGGAAACACTGGACTAGGTGAAAAGAATAAGGCTTACATTATAATACTTATTGTATAAAATGAGATTAAAGTCAAGTCAGCGAATGTATTTTATTCTGCCTTTTTTTCTCAGGGTGGATTTTTTTCTTTTAATACATTATAATAAAGTACAACATTGCATTTTGTTGGTAGTATATTTCATACATCAATGTCATAATGGGAATACGGTATTCACATTCATAAAAATATATTAAATTTACGTTAAAGCAAATTCAACACAATATTACATACATATTTAAGTTTGAAATTTTATACTTGAGGAGGGATGATGGGGGGAATGAGGGAATAGAGCTAGGCTTATCCTGTTCGCCAGAACGGGTACTCATACGTGCATAAGATAATCTAAATATTCTCCATATGGGCCTATTTATCTTTGCCAGTGAAGGAAAAACAAAAACATCGTTCATAAGGAAGCCCTGATTTAAAACAGGTTCGTAGTTTATTTTCAAAAATCAAACCCAAGGTTTTTTTGGGTTTTTTTTCCCATAAATTCTCAAACTATCTTTTACCTATCGAAATATGGAACGGGGAAACAGAAAGAGTAATTTTTTTTCGAAAACCCGGGGCAACGCCAGGTAACGCTGCTAATATTTATATATAGTGTGTATTTCTCTGTTATAAATCATTTCACAAGTTAGAAACAATGAAGTACACTATAACTGTTTAACAATGTTGTCTCTCGTAGCTCCCAAAATCAAGTTCCTTGCTCACTGATATTTTAGTGAAGCCTTTCCGGTTTCATACCAAACAAAATAATGATTTTTGTCAGAATTATCTGACCGAACTAATGCATTCAAATCTTTATAAGTTTTAGATGACAATGCAAGCTTCTCGCTAGAAATGTATATTGAATTAACTAAATTATTTATTTGGTTATTTTCTTTTTAGTGCAAATCTATGTAGATCAGAATTTAATGCTGACGTTTTTTAAATTGAAAATTCCTCCTTGAAACTTCATATTTTAGTAGAACATAAGTCACGTTTCTACTTATACAGGTCAGCAATCATTTCATTGTCAGTTACCAACAGGATACTATTTATCACATTTGATAAAAAAAGAGATTAAAATCATCTGCTTTGTTCCCATCAAAGATGTATTTAATAGATGTTCTATCTTTAACACTGTACTACCCCATTAACCTACAACATGAAGAATCATCTTCTTATTGTTGTCGCTTTCCTGTTAACAGGAAACATATTGGAAGTGGTAAGTCAAATCTTGTTAACGTACGTATGTATGTATTGTATAGTCGAAAATAGAAAGTCTCATATAGTCTTTTCCAAACACTTTTAAAATCAATTTTAAAATCGTTGATACATTATCAGTGACTGAAAATCTTCACTAAGAATTTCGTTACGTAAAAAATATTATTAATTAATGTTTATTGGATATTACGAATGTAAATACATAGACAGTGGTGAGTCAAATCTTATTAACGTACGTGACTCAATGTATTGTATAGTCGAAAATAGAAAGTCCCATACAGTCTTTTCCAAACACTTTGAAAATCAATTTTAAAAATCTATCGTTAATTCATTATAAGTGACTGACAATCTTCACTAAGAATTTGGTTACGTATAAAAGATGATTAATTAATGTTTATTGGATATTGCATATGTAACTAAATAGATCCCTCTATTTTCAAATCTGTGAAACTAAGGAACAAAAAACATCACCATAAAGCATGCTTTATAACGTTGTTTCTGTGCCTTAGTTTTATTGGATATTACTCGGCTTTTGTTATTCTAAACGAACAAGATAAAATATTCATTATGTAAGGTGCAGATGGCAGCACGTACTTGATTTATCAGTATATTTTATGGTTTCTTAGTTTGGATCGTTGGTTAATCAGGGTAACAAGTTGGTCGTTTCTTACATGAGATTCTGCCTGCTGACCAGAAGTAATCTGATAATAACGTTAAAAATTCAATGAGCATGTTGAAAATGTTAAAAGTTTCAAATAAATAATTGACTAACTCCAAATTTAAAATATTTGAAAATTTAGTCATTAAAAGCATAATTACTGATTTTCGAGTATTGATGTTTAAATAAATTAATAATATACGTCATTTTTCATATTGGTGAAAGATTTATGTAAATAGGCCTATTTAAGTGAGAGTTGCGTTGACTATGTGAAATTGCGTGCTTGCCTATTTGTAAAAAAGTTTAAATTTTTAATTTTCACTAGCGTCTTTAATCAAGAAAAAATAAAATAAATAAATCAGTCTCGAAAAGCTATTAAGCTGAAGGGTTGATACAAACTTAAGAGTATTGAACTGATAAATATCTGGACGATCCTCAGATAGGTTTTAAACTGACAGGTATGGTGTAAAATTAAAAGTATTAAGCTGATAAATATCTGGAAGACCCTTAAATAGGTCCTAGCTTACAGGAATGATGTAAAATTAGATATGTATTAAACTAACAGATTACACGCTCTATCTGTCAGTGTATTGTTCTCTTTTTGAATAACGGATAGACAATGTAAGATTCTGAAACATAAAAAAGCATCGTCTTTGAGATTAAATTGAGTTTCAGTGACACAGAGAAAGTAAATTTGGAATAAAGAGGTTTCGTTACTTTAATAGTGTATACAGAATGTTATATTAAGTGAATGCTTTCTCAACGAATTTTACTTTTTTCCCTCTGTAGATTACATATCGACTGCAGACTTCAAAGGTACAAGGTGAGAGTTTCAAATCCAACAAAACTGCATCTTTACGTCTGTTCAATCTTATTACGTTGCTGTTGTTAGTTTTAGCTGACTCGAAAATCACAAGAACAAAACTTAAGTGGATTCTGTTTACCGTCTGCATACAGTTTTTTTTCAAGTACAAACTTTTAGCTCATAGCTCTATCTCTTGACCGACTTGAGATGTAATTACAGCTGCGGCTATTGAGTATTCCCTCTTGTTTTAAACATGAGCTACCTTTATGCGACACATAGGCTAAACGGCCAGGCCGAAAACTAGCCATCAGTAATGTAGAACTACAGACCAGAAGGAAGGCAATCAATTGGCAGTACCAGCCGCCTGAAGCGACTACACGTAATCGAACAGCGGAATTGACTGTCACTTTATTTTAACGCACACACAGTTGAAATTGCCAAGTGTAGTTCATAGCACTACCTCTCGTACTTGAGATCCTCGGTTCCCCACTCCGATACGCTAATCATTAGGCCACGTCCCATTTTCTTTTGTTCTAAGGAAAATGTGTTTTTAACTGCCAATATGATTTATTATATGTGAATATGCAGTTAAAATAAAGGTATTTGAAAGAAGTGCTAATTTCGTGCTAGTCTTGTTAATCGATAAATTTAACAATGTTAATAATAAGTAACATAATACGTTGAAGTCCTACTGGCTAAGTGTGTGTGTGTGTGTTTTCTTGTAGCAAATTCACATCGGGCTGTCTGCTGTGTTTACCGAGTAGAACAGAATCCCTGATTTTAGCGTTGTAAATACAAAGACTTACCGCTGTCCCACTGGGGGACTAGTGGCTAACTTCCACTAGTTTGAATATTCATGAGATTCAGCAAGTCGCTATAAGCAATTTCTTTCTTTCTAAACTTTATTAAAGTTTCAACTCGGCTGAGGGTTTGTCGAGGGGAAGTGTTTAAAACTTTCTCTTGGTATAAAATAACGTTCTCGATTATTGAAAGGCTCGAGCGTGTTCTAGTGGTTAGCGTATAAGATTGGGGAGCCAATGTTTTTGGGTTCGAGACTTGGCGCTGTCAAACACGCTTCGCAACTTCAGTTGAGGGTACGCTATAAAAAATGGCAGTATATTCCGCTATTCGGATAAGGCTAACCGCTTCAGGCGATTGGTGCTGCCAACTGGTTGCTTTCGTTATGGTCGGCAGTTCTAAAGTACAAACAGTTAAACCTGAACATAGGGGTTTCTGACCTGGCCGTTTAACTCATTGTTTGTATAAGATGTTGTTCAACTCGTCAGCAATGGTTATGGCAGACATAGCGTGGTTGACATATTATTACACATTTATCTTTGTTTTCACTTAAAATGAACAAACAAACAAACTATAATTGAAATATTTTGCGATTGATCATAAATCACGATGAACAGTTGATGCTTCAACTGTTACCGCATAACAGATTGATTTAGAGCTTTTGTAGCTACGGCATGACCGCTTTTCTTTGCCATTATTGAACAGTTCAGATTCTATCAGTATATAATAGTTTTTCATAATGTTTTAACTAAGAATTTCAGAATCGAGACAATTACAGTGTAATTTATTTTCTAATAATTATTAGCATATGTTTTATGCTGATTGTTGTCACTGTTCTCTGACTAAGTTAATACCTATCAAAAATGTTTTCAATGGCTAATTTAACTTTTTTAATCTGTGTAGAAAGTCGTGAAAATAAGAAAACACGGTTTTCATGTCATACTTTTCATCAGTCTAAACAGACACGGCTATAAACCCGAATGGTAAAACATTGCACAACTAAGCTGTGATATTTGCAGTTTACAAGCTGACTCACCTTGTTTTGTTTTTTGGTTTCTTTGATAACACTTGGACCGCTAACTCCTTGGTATCGCAACTAAAATAACCTTGAATAAGTGTTTGAAAGGCCAGAGTTGTGGTTTACAGAATTATGTAAAAGTATTATTCAGTTAGAATGATAATCACAAACTGTGGAACGAGTTGGTTTCTATGGTTACAGATGTTATGGGCGTAGTTTAAACTTTTTTTTATGTTTATTTAAAAATGGTCTACCAGTGCCAGATATTCCATCAATTGACAAGTGTATCTGTTTTAAAAATATTTACTTTCACATTACGGAAGATTGGTTTAAGCATACTTTTTTTCTTCGGGAAATGCCACCCTTATCACTTGAAGTTAATTTACCTACTTGTTATCCTTACACTGAGGAGCCCGGCATGGCCAGGTGGTTAGGGAACTCGACTCGCAACCTGCGGGTTCGAATCACCGTCACACCAAACATGCTCGCCCTTTCAGCTGTGGGGGCGTTATAATGTGACGGTCAATCGTTGGTAAAAGAGTAGCCCAAGAGTTGGCGGTGGGTGGCGATGACTAGCTGCCTTCCCTCTAGTCTTACACTGCTAAATTAGGGACGGCTAGCGCAGATAGCCCTCGTGTAGCTTTGTGCGAAATTCAAAACAAACAATACACTGAGGAGTTGAAACATCATTATCTGACAACATGCATATTAATGTTCATTGCTAACAAGTCAATTAAATATATATATATATTTCGCATAAAAAGGTATTAAAATATCGATTTTTATTTAACATTAATTTTCAATTAATTTTATTGAATATACTGCATATGCGAATAACATGCCCAAGACATAACTTTGTAAACTCAGTTATGTTTTATATGTATATCTTAATCGGAGAATGATTTTGTTTTTGGCAGAGCACGTGGACAATGCTTCAAATGACACTTCTTTGAGTGCTGGTGATTGGCTGGACTTGGCTAAAGATGTAAGCGAGTTTTTGGGCAAGTTTGATGAGGCAAGCGTTATCATTGACGCAATTCTAGACAGCAACATCCTTGGTGTTATAGGTAATTTGGGCCCTCTTTTTTCGGTCGCCGGAGCAATTGTTGGGCTTATTTTCGGAGGTCAGGAAAGTGCAGAGATGAAGTTCATGAAGGAACAATTCGGGAAAGTTCACAATAAACTGGAAATCATCTCTGATCAAATCAAGGACCTGGAGTATATAATAGATCAATCAACAGTTGACATGCAGTTTTTCAATTCAGAAGAAAACATCAAACACCAGATTCGGTATTTAAATGAGTACATGAGGCACGGTGTTGAAGGCGAAAGCAAAGAGCGAGATGATTTTATCCGTAGGTTCCAACAGGCTGGGGAAGACAGGAACATTTATACTTTATACAATGGAATCATGGGAAGAGGTTCGATTTTCACGCGTCCTATTCTGAAAACGGTAAGGGATAAGACTGAATGCTACAGGAAACAGGTGGAAGCGATGGGCGGTCGCTTGGTGGAGCTACTGACTGCTGGAGTCATGACTTACATATCTTACACAAAGATATCTGGAGGGAAAACGGAACCAATTCAAAAAGATTGGGAAGAAAGACTGAAAGATGTAAATGAAGTCATCAATGAACACCTAGAATATTGTAAAAGCAACTATAGAACGTTCGCTGTCAAGGATCTGGAGAAGATCATGAGAGAAAAGGAAGCCGGCTCAAATAAAGATGTCGTTGTCGCCTTACTTGATTTGCTTGGCGATAAGTACGACTGGTTGTATTGGATGGTAGTTGTGTATGATCCTGTTTCTAGCTTTGAAAACCACGTTGTTGGAGGTAGTTCGTACGTTCACCAATTCAGAGTTGCAAACAAAAACGCAATCGCTATGAACAGACCGAGAGATGCTGTCGGGTCTCTTGACCACTCCCATGTAAGGGAATTGATGAATTTGCCTAACAGGCCTCGAAAAAATGCCCATAATGTTTATGATATGCTACGTAATTTCGGTATACCTGGAGAAATTCACGTCGTGAGACGCGGTAATGGCATATGGGCCACGTGGAATGCTCCATCCGATCGAGTTTATTTTTCTGCTGTTGAATACAGTGACGTGTCAGTCAGTGTTCTTGTTTGATTTTAAGAATACTGTATTCTTTTTCTGATTAAATATATTAAAACACATATTATTTTTGAGCCGTTTATTACTGTTATTTTCGTAATTAAATATTTACTAATACAACATATAAATCAGTGTTATTTCACAAAGCTAAACTTCCATTACGGTGCAATAGTTACGAACTTGTTTATTAGAATAATCACATTTTTTACCTGATGCACAATAAGTCAATAACTACAAATGTCTGCGGACTTACAACGCTAAAAACCGGGTTTCGATACCCGTGGTGGGCAGAGCACAGATAGCCCATTGTGTAGCTTTGTGCTTAACTTCAAACAAACAAATAACTACAAATAAACAACGATCACAAACGAGTCAGTGACAATTCATTTATGTACAGATATGCTGGATCATTACTATATTTCTTCAATTATAAAGAAAAGAAACACCAAAGACAATGTGAATTCAAGTTGAATGTAATAGTCTATCAATGTGTGTTTTACTTTTATGCCATCCTTAATCCAAGTGTTTTCAGTTCCAGGTTCAGAAGTGCATGTTTTTTCCACATTTTTGTTCAAGTTTATTTTAATGTATCTTTAGAACACTCATGAAGCTAATATTTAGTTACTCTTTTAACATACCATAAGAAATGATATTGCTACTAAACTAAATATAAGTCCCCTCGTGCCTCAGCGGTAAGTCTGAGGGCTTATAACGCCAAAAATCAGGTTTCTATACCCGCGGTGGGCAGAGTACAGATAATCCATTGTGTAACTTTGTACTTAACAACAAACAAACAAATAAAAATTAAATATAAAATGATTTAAGGCAGAATTACAATTTACAGGTTTTCTTCTTTTAAAAGTAGAATTCTCACTGTCATAAACTTAAAATAAAAAAAACATATATTAAAAGTTTTATTTAGTTTATTCTAAAATCAGCTTTTAGACGTTGTCCTCTCCGTGTGAGTTTACTAGATGCGATTGTAATGTCACAACTGATATACTTTGAGAGACATTTAGAAATATTAATGATATCAACAAAGACGGTTGGAACTAAGTGTACCCTATCATCAGGTATGTGCGCATCTCATGAGTCCTGTTGAGAGAATGGATGATTGATCGCTTCAGATTTGAGTATTGTTTTCCAACCTGAATTTTGTGTCAGTGCTATTTGTTTGTGACAGAAGGGGCCTTTTTTCAAAGCTGTTCGAATTTCGGAAAGTGGAAAATAGAAAGAGACAATTAGCAGCTCTATTATTTATATTGAGCCTGGCGTGGTCAAGTGATTAGCATGTCGGGCTTTAAAACGGATGTTCCAAGGTCCCAATAATAATTTCAATGAACATTCTCTACACTTTCAGATGTAGACGCGTTATAAAAGTAGCAGTCAACTCCACTGTTCGGTTAAGAGTAGTCAAGTATGTGGCAATCCATGATGAATGGTTGCATTATTTCTGGTAAGCAGCCCCAAAATTTCTGATATGGTGTTCGAAATTAAAATTAATTTTATTTTCAAAGTTGAACTCACAGTTTGAGAATAATGGCTTGAAGCGAATCAAGTAAACATTTTAAACATATTTTTATAAGCTGTTGATTTGCAGCGATTTAAGCAGATTGCTTCACGAACGAGGAATGTAACTTATAGTAGTATAGAACTAAGTGAAAATTAAACCTTTTCAGAAGAAAATTAGGGTACTCCGGATCATGTAAACTAATAATATTTGAGGTACTATCCAAACACATACGGTCTTGTGTTACATATCAATACCCAGTTTCAATATACTTTTTCAACTCCCTGCTGGCTGAGCTATAAGCTTAAGGGCTTATAACGATAAAAATCGGGGTTCGTTTCCCACAGTGGGCTCAACGCAGATCGCCATTGTGTAACTCTGAAGTCAAAATCATTTTTTGCTGCATTTCGCTTAGCAGTATAGAAAACATTGAAAATCGAATTAATTTATAACCTGTCCTTTATTTTAGAAATGCACAGCGTTACAGTGAAGTGAACACACACACACACACACACAAGCAATATTTTGAAGTAGTATGTAGATAAAGTGTAAAACAATTATATAAAAAACACTTTTTATTGTTCACTAGCGTATAGCACGTCAAAAATGTATAACCACTGTACCACCCCACCCCATAATACACTCTAATTTCACATTTCATAGCTAATTGAAATAAATAAGTTTTGCGAAATCAAGCTTGACTAACAAAGAGGCAGGAATGTGCAGTCGAGGCAATCAAACATCGGGAAATTCTTTTGTGAGCCAATAAGAATTAAGCTCCATTCATAAAATTAATTCGTGGCGTATTCGTAGAATAATTATTGGTAAAAATCAGTTAGATTAACAACTTCTAATATATAGTTTGTTTGTTTGTAGCTATGCACAAAGCTACACAATGGGCTATCTGTGCTCTGCCCACCACGGGTATCGAAACCCGGTTTCTAGCGTTGTAAGTCCGCAGACATACCGCTGAGCCACTGGGGGCTCTAATATATAGAAAAGCCAGTGCGTCTTGGTAACACTACATTCGAACAATGGCTTTTGTGTCATTTTGCTTAGCAACAAAGGTCTAACTTAGTATTGTTGTTAGTTTAAGTATTGAAAGTATAAAATGAAATGTATAGACAACAAAACTGGAAAATATTTGTTGATTTCTTAATTTAGAGTCTCCTTTGATTAAAGAAGTTATTTTTTCTATTTAAGACCTTCGTGATATAACAGAAAATAGCTTAATTCAGAAACGATTTAAGTTTAAAATTGAATCGATATTTTTACTTTCGTGATAAATTTTATGCACTTAGCTCTAGCCTAGGTGATCCCACACTACGTCTTTACTTTAGGCTTATTATACCAACACTCTCTACTCTTAAAAGGTTTCACGACACACCCTCCCCTGACGTCCCCCTTACATCCCCGTCACTGAAATCGTAATGGGCAGACAGTAATCGAACAACTATTCTATCTGGATAAATGCATTTGGGCATTTATGAGTCTCCCTATTTCGAGAAATCAAGTGTGACGTGACTTGACACACACTGGCTTTTTTTATATAGATTAGATTCTTCCCGTTTCTCAATAAGTTTCAAACTGAAAGAGAATGGAAAACTTCAACTCACTTGCCCGTTTAATCACTTTTAGAAATATTATGTTTTTAGGGAACCCATCCAAGAAAATTATATTGTTGCGTCAGCGAGGTCACTTGACTAGTATCACGCCACTTCTTTTTCGAACCTTCGTGAATTGTCGGGAGATTACTAGATTGGGGGTAGGCTGGTATATATAAGATCGTCACAACGTGACGGACAATGTGTAAGTAGTGAGTACTTGAACTGCAGTCAGAGAGTGTGTAATTGAACTCGAGCACGTGAGACGTTCATTGAGAATTATAGCGCGACTGTTGAAATTAAGTGTATCGTAAAGTTGTATTCGGAAAGAATAAACCAGTCTTATTTAAGAAAGGACTTTTGTTGCTAAAGTTTCGTTGGATCGAAGTTACTGAAAATTAAGTAACGACTGGAGGCGTAACAATATGTGTAAATGTGACTTATTTTGTAGCCTTTTCATTTCTTTAAGTTTGGTGAGCTTTTCTATTAGGTGTTTAAATATTAAGTTAGGGCTTAAAAATTGGATTCCGTATGATATTATTTGTACGTGGACGCAAACTCTTAACAAAATCCTAAAGAGTTTTAGAGTACAGCTTAGTTTACGAGTCAAAACTCTTAAAAAAATCAACTAACGAACGGAGACGTAACACTATTATGTTTAGCTGAAAAATTGCCAAGTGACAAATATTGAGTAATTGATGTGAACGATTATAGAACTTAAAGACATGAAACATATCAAATCTATATCTCAACCAAAATCAGTTTATATTGGGATTGTTAATAAGACAACGAGGTACTTTTGTTGGCATATCTCTTAATTATATAAATAATAGCAGATTTACTCAACACGTGTTTTTATTGTAAGCTAAGTTTCAATTACATAACTGTTTATATTTATCTAATACACAGAAACAGACAATCACTAAGTGCCGCGTCTACTGTGATACTATCAACAAGTACGGTGTTCTGATTTCGACAATAAAACTGTATAATAAGCACAAATCAATATCGTTTATTTCAGGAACGTTGAGGACATTATTCTGTCTAGTATTTCTATACAATGGGGTTTGGATAAACAAGAATCAGAATTTGTTATCTTTTCATCGTAGTGTATTATCACACTGACCGACATTGCGAGCTGTATTTGTTCTGAAAAGTGTTGATTACTCATAAATCGATTTGATCATTTTACGAGGAGTTCGATTCTCCGTGGTGGACAGATCGCAGATAGCCAATTGTACAGTTTTGCACTAAAAACAAACGAAACCAAATATACTTGCCTCCCCCAGTGGCTCTGCATTAAAGTTGAAGGCTTATAATACTAAAAGCCCGGTTTCAATACTATTGGTGGGCACAACACAGATACTCTGTTACGTAGCTTTGCACTTAACAACAAACAAACAATCATTTTATCAAATTCGTCTGCGCATAACTTATTATCGGTGTGCAGAAATCTTCAAAATAAATACACTGAGAAATAAAAAATTGTGCAGTGTGTATTATAACACTATAAAACTACTTATGTTATTAAATAATACTGAAACGTTATACGTTTCAGAGTTAAAAGGGCTATATGCACCGTACCCACCGGAAGGATCAAAGCCTGAATTTAGTTTCGTAGGCCGTCATCGGTGGGGATAAATCAATACAAAAGTTTTTATATACGGTCCATTTAAAACCAGATGTTGAAATATTCTTTCGATTGTCAGTACGATATCTATAGCATTCGTGAGATTCACACAAGAACCTGATAATATTTATTAAAGGTCAAGGAAATTGTTGAAAAAATGTCTACACAATTCATATAAGTGATCACAGAAATACAGGCAAATTGATTAGGAAACAAGCTGCTATATGATAAAATAAAAGTTATAGTGCTTATTATCATTGTAAATGTTAGGTGATTAGCGGCTTGAATAAAACAGATCTTAATATTTTTTATATAATCAAGTATCTTGTAACATTGAAGTGAAACAAGACATTTCTCCAATTAAAAGTGTATTCTGATCAACGTTTATTTTACGTAATTACAAAGCCTATCTACACAGGATCTTTCCCTCATTAAGAACCACATCGGTGGCAGGGATCAGATGAAAAAACATAGGATTTATCCGATTTAGGTGAAACTAAAGAGGATGTAGCGAACAATCATATATGATCACTACTATTTACAGTTCCAAAATCAGAGAAAAATTGACCGAGTTATAACTGGCCACATTATCAACAGAAAGTTTGTAGTTAAGCACAAAGGGCTATCTGTGCTCTGCCCACCACGGGTATCGAAACACGGATTCTAGCGTTGTAAGTCCACAGACATACCGCTTGGCCACTGGGGGGCATCAACAGAAAGAAACCCACAGTTAATGACAGTACTTCTTGTTGTGTAATCGACGGGTCCGCTTCGTGAGTCTTCTTCTTCTTCTTCTTCTTCGCCCGTCGTTGCATCTGTTTATCAGACCAAAGCCCAATAAATTTTCAGCAGATAGCTCCAATACCCTCTAACCGTGAATGGAACTTTGCTACTTTTCGGCATGTCATCATCAATCGTCATTATTCCGAGATTTTCGTCTTGTAACATGTGCAGCTGCTTTTATAGAGGGAAATTCATTTATCAAGCTCATTGATGCTGTGGCGACACTCAAAAATAGGTTTGATGCTGATAAAGACAGTAGTGATAGCAGTAGTAGTAGCCTTCCACCAGATCACACAATGAAGGAAGGTCGTATAATTTAGTTTGAGAAACAAATGATCAAGAAATGATCAATTAGTGTGTGTGACCGTTGCTGGTAAGGTGGTGCGACCTGTGTTTCTCTGAATGCTCATTATTCGTGAATCAATTGCGTTACAATCACATTTATTGTATATTTAGATACAGCAAATTTCAAAGGTATATGAAAAGTCTCCAAGAAATAATTAGCTAAATACTAAATTTAAAAAACAAAACGAAAACTAATTCATCTACGTCAAGCTTCTCACTATGGATATATACTTTCCGGGCTTTTCATTTTTCTTCACTTAATTGCTTCTTGATTTATTTTCTTGCCAAGTCGAAAACTTTAGCAGATAATGTACTCAACAAAATCTAGATTGATTTTCATCTTATTTAATAGTTGATTCTCACATATTATTGCCTACACGTCGTTGAAAATACATGATTAAGTACGTTATATCAAAACAATTTTGAACACGCAAATCATCAATTCATAGATGATATAAAACCGCAATGGAACGGAGGGTATCAGAACCATATTTTGAAATTGTTTGGCATCATTGATAGTGTGATGTCATCAACAACTGAACTGGAAGGTTATGTAACAGCCCTTAACGACGATGATAAGGTGTGTTCAGATCGGGGATTTGGAATTTTCAAGTGGGATTTACTTTGTACTTAATGGTTGAAAAACAAAGGAATATGAATCAACTTGGGGCACCAAGTCAATCCAGTAAGTAACCTCCAACAAGGTGTACCTGAATTGTAACAAGTGAGAATACACGAACACAATGGTCAGTAGCAAAAGTTGTCCACGTGCCCCAGATATCCGTACGTAATATAATCAAGAAGGATATCTTTGTAGAAATCAAAACAAGCCACGCATACACAACCTATTTCCAGACATATCTGTGCATCTGTCGCATAACGCAAGTATCTGGAAATTGGAATGAATATTCATGTTATTCCATCGAGAAAATACTGGTCAAGTCACTAGACACAGCACCTATGGATTTCTGTGTGATCAGACTCTGAAAAAAGGCGTAGGAAACCGTCGTCCTCCTACACTAGATACATCATGGAAAACATCAAGCAAGAGGGGTTGTGCTTACGAAGGAGCAAGTTAAAATAGAAACTATGCTATTGGGCCATTTTCAAGCTGCACCGTCGTCAGCTAGAGCATGATCGAACATGGCGACATGTACTGTAGCGACTTGGTGAGGCTCCAAAAATATTTTACTTTAACGTATTCAACCTCTGTACTCACTGATTAAAAACACTACTCTGGTTTATGAAGCGAAGGCAAGGTGAGGGCTTAATGATAGAACCTTTCACTGCTAGCCATGGTTGGTTTGACCAGTTCAAAAAGCACTACTGTTATCATAACCTAAAAGTGTCTGGTGGAAGAGCGAGTGCCGACAAGGAAGCTGCTGACCATTATCAACCTATTTTGAAAGCAGTAATTGAAGAAGATGGCTACACACTTGAACAGATATCCAATGTCGACGAAACGGGGCTCTACTGGAAACCTTTACAAAGAAGAAAAGTCTGAGCTTGGCTTTAAGGCATAGAAAGATCGCCTAATCCTTATGATTGATAGTAGTGCAGCAGGTGATTTTAAACTAAACCCATTGCTTGGTTATTATTTAGAGAATTCCTGGGCTTTGCAGGGACATTACAAACCGCATCTCCCTTTCATTTGGCGCTCCAATAAGACAGCTTGGGTAACTCAGGATATTTTCGGTGAATGGTTTAACTTATACTTTTGGCCTTGCAGTTAAGGAGTATCGGGTAAAACACTAGCTTCATCATAAAGCACTGCTTCTACTGTATAATGTCCTAGGACACCCTGTAAATCTTGGTGATTATTGGAACATGTGCAAGTTGTTGTTTTTTGGAACCAAATACCACTTCATTACTGCAGCCGATGGATCAGAAGGTCATAGCCACCTTTAAGGCGTATTTTGTACGTCATACATTCAAGCAACTCAACTAGGCATTATACAGCGAAGACAGGCCACTTGTGAGAGATTTTTGGCGTGGCTACAATGTTATGAATGTCATTCATAATATCAAGGATGCGTAGAAGGAAATGTCAGCAGTGTTTGGAGAAACGTCTGGCCTGCATGTTGCAATGACTTCAGGGAGGTTTGACGAGAGTGTGGGAGAGGTTCGACGCAACATCGTGGAGCTGACCCAAAAATTATCCCAAAAATGAGGAATTACATGTTACATGTAATTTTCTGATTGTAAGCCGTTATCCTCTCTAGGCAATCAACGGGATACATGGAACACTCGAATGAAGAAATTTGCTAGGTTGGAACTAAAGCATATAACTTGAATAAGAATTCCATTGCCCTGTCAAACTTTTCTAGTCATTAGGAATTAAAGCATTTTTCTGTATTTGTGAGATCACTAACTCACCAGAAACTAGTCTCGGGGAATGTTAATAAGTCATACATAGCCATACACCAGCTATCTCATCTTTCCTCAGATGTGAAGAAACAATAAGTCACACATCCATCTGACCTTCCATAAGTAGCAGCAGCGCCACTGCTGATGTGACAACAGGTAACTCAGTCAGTATCGAAACAAGTTCTAATACCACTATCACTTCAAAGACGAATCAAACATGTGAACGGCCTAACTAGACATCACCATTAACCCACCAGCACCACTACGGTGAGCATTGTACTGACTGTAAGAACTACTCTTTTAGCAGATGGTCCTAAACATTTAATCACCTATTGTTTGTTTGTTTTGAATTTCGCGCAAAGCTACACGAGGGCTATCTGCGCTAGCCGTCCCTAATTTAGCAGT